CTTGGTATCTATTATAATACATTTCTTCCCCTCTCAATTGGACATTAAGACCAATTCATTGCATAAGCTTTAGGTTTTGAGATTTTCATAGCATAAAGCCCACACTGACAGAGTAATGACGGAAATGTTCCACATGTGAATTGTTATGCCCAGAGTTCGGGGTCCCCAATAATCCACCACCAGGGAGCCTTTTCCGATGCAAAAGCAAAGGGTCTTTTATTCAAGCCCGGGACTTGGTCCCCCTCCTGCCTCCATTACTGGATGCAAGAGAGAGCCCCGAGTTCCAAGAGAACAAAGAATTTATAGGGCTAGGGGTTGGGGGGTGGGGGCACACTTTGACCACTGATTTGGTCGATTCCGGTTGGTTGAGTGAGGGCTGGGGGCTAGTGACGCAAGGGCAGGGTGCAGCTAGGGTCTGGTTACACAGAGACAGGAGGTGGCTAGCATACTTTTGGCCTTGGGCTAGTTTCCTTGCGTTCCTATTGGCTGAGATAAGGGCTGACTGAGCAACTGATACATTCTATGGCTTTTGCTTGAAGAGGAGTTAGGAATACGGTTATCAGCCCCGTTCTGTCCTTTCATTAATATATAGTTGAGAAAAGAGGGCATTGTAGTAGATTTTTGTAATTCAGGGCCTTATTAGTGAGTATGTGTACCTTTATATTTTGGCAGGTACACATGGTTAAACTTTATAAATTCAGAAAGTGAATAATGTCTTACAATCAAGGAAAGCCCTAAGACATCCGAGAGATTGTTTTTTTTCAGTATCATGAAGGAAAATGGTTGCCAGCAAGCAGTGTGGCCTGGTTATCCAAGGAGACAACTGTCTCTGCTCCCCAGGGACCAGCTTCAGAAGCTTCCTTGTTGTCCAGAGCTGCTTCACTGATTCACTGTACAGGCTGGCCTTGCCTGCAGCAGTCAGCATTTAAAAATTTGTCTTCAGCCCTGCTTGTCAGCAGGCAGCTTCAGTTGGAGAAAGTAATTTCATTTTCATATTTGCTCATTTCATTCATTCACTCAATCAACAGACCATCAATCTCTCATATACCAAGAACTGTGTTTGGTTCTGGAGATGAATAAATAAGATAATGGTTCCTTCTAGCACTTGAAGAGCTTACAAACTAGTGATAGAGGAAGATGTACCAATAACTCAATAAAAATAATGCTTTGACTTTATTTGTATTATTGGAATTTTATAAATCCATTCATATACACAAAGTGCTCACATAACCATGCTGGTAATGTTCTGCAACTTTTAAGTGAAATGATGTAAAACAAAACCAATTTTACCATATAGATTAATTAATAAGATAAGAGTTAAGTTCCTGTGGACATTATAACGCAACAGAATGATGCTGAATTTGAGGACCTGCGGTACATTAAAAATTGAAATACACCTTTAAGAAAGGGCTAGTGATATGAGAAATCCACATTAATGTGTAAGTTATTTAGAGAGTTAACACTGAAGATTTGCATTCTGAAAGCAGCGTTGAACCTTAGATGCAGATGAACTTTGTTTTAGTTGCTTATAAAATTTATGCAGAGGTATCTTCTAATAGGGGTCAGTAACTTGGGGAGGGGAGTGCTGCAAATTAAGATCCTACCTTGGTGATGGGTCCATTTTTTCTGTTCAGATTATAGCCTGAAACAGGAGCTACAGGTTTGGATGACTAAAGTAATTTACTGCCTTTGGGTACCCATCCTATCTAATAATAGACAAACATGGTAATTGACTGTACCTTCACTAAGCCTCCCATTGGCTAATCAGTGTGATGTGCAAATTAACCGCCAACAAAGATGGCGGGGGATTTGCAAACTGCAGGCAGGGCAGGACAGCACCATCCTGCCTGTCCTGCCATTATCTGGACCTGCTATCTGTGACCCAGGACGGCGGGTGTCTGTGTGTGACCCGACCCGGGGCGGCCGGGTGGTGCAGCAGCGATCGGCCAGCCCATCCGGCCTCCATCCAGGCATCCCTTGTGCGACCCTTCCCGGGGCGGCCGGGTGGGGACGCATCGATCGCCTGACCTGCCCAGGGAGTCCTGTGTGCAACCCAACCTGGGCCGGCGGCCCAACCCCCGGATCGGCCCTGCCATGTGTGTGACCTGGGGAGGCGGGGCAGGCACCGAGGGATCTGGCCTGTCATCTGCCACCCGAGGAGTGGGCCTAAGCCAGCAGGTGGTTAACTCTCTGGGGTCCCAGACTGTGAGAGGGCACAAGTGGGGCGGAGGGACATCCTCCCACCCCCACTCCCCTGCCAGTGCACAAATTTTTGTGCACCCGGCCTCTAGTCCTATCTAATAATAGACAAACATGGTAATTAACCATACCTCTGACACACTTACCATGGGCTAATCAGGGTGATATGCAAATTAACTGCCAACCAAGATGGCAGCCGGCAGCCAGGCAATTGAAGTGAACATGAGGCTTTCCTGATCCAGTGAAGGAGGAAGCCAAGGTTCCCCGCCTGCTGCTGCTGGGCTCTGAGCTGCACTCTAAGAAACAATGTTGCAATTATAGAAGCTAAACAAACCCAAATACCTGCTTTCAGCCAGCCAGGCCTCAGAGCTGGAGTTGCAACAGTGTTTTACTTATAGAAGCCAAACAAACCAGATACCTGCTTTCAGCAGCTGAGGTCTTAGAGCTGGAGCCGAGCCTCAGAGCTAAAGCCGGCTCTCAGTTCCAGTGACAGCATAGAAGGTAAATAAATCCCAGAATAAAAAAAGAAATGAAAAAAAGGAGAGGTTGGGAGTTTCAGTCACCCACCAGCCTGAAAATGGCCCTCAGCCCCTCACCCAGACTGGCCAGGCACCCCAATGGGGACCACCACCCTGAAGGGGATGTGACAGGCTGCAAACAGCCATTATCCCTTCATCCAAGCTGGCCAGGCACCCCAGTGGGGACCCCCACCCTGATCTGGGACACCCTTCAGGGCAAACCAGCTGGCCCCCACCCATGCATCAAGCCTCTATCCTATATAGTAAAAGGGTAATATGCAAAATGACCCTAACAGCAGGACTGGGAATGACTGGTCACTATGACACACACTGACCACCAGGGGGCACATGCTCAATGCAGGAGCTGCCCTCTGATGGTCAAGGCGCTCTTACATGGGAGGAGCTCTGCTCAGCCACAAGCCAGGCTGATGGCTGCCAATACAGTGGTGGTGGTGGGAGTCTCTCCTGCCTCCTCAGCAGCGTTAAGGATGTCCGACTGCAGTTTAGGCATGCTCCCCGCTGGCAAATGGACATCCCCCGAGGGCTGCCGGGCTGCCAGAGGTATGTCTGATTGCCATCTTAGGCCCAATTCCCTGGGGAGCGGGCCTAAGCCAGCAGGTGGTCATCCCCTGAGGGGTCCCAGACTGCTAGAGGGCACAGGCTGGGCTGAGGGACCCCCTCCCCCTGAGTGCACAAATTTTTGTGCACCGGGCCTCTAGTAACCCTATAATTGGCATATGCATGGCTTTCTAAGTTGTTCCATCATCACTTTCACCACCAGAGTTCAGTGCAACTTTTCAATTAGCCAGGGCCCCTGGAAATGATGCAGAAAAATACTGTGGCTTAATAATACTTACTTATTGTTAGGTCGGAGAGAGCTCAGGATTGGATATGTGCAGACATGTGGTGAGATAATGGACCCTCCCTGGAATTTCTAACAGATCAACATACCAGACACAGATACCGGACCCTCCCTGGAATCCACACGACCCCACACAGATACTGACTCCTTCCTGAATACCCTGCCCACACCCTGTGGCAGAGACTTCCTCAGCTGAATACCTTGATGATCCCTGCAGCAGAGACTTCCTCAACTCAGGCCCCCCACCCCTCATCAAACACCTGTATAAAAAAGAAGCCCCTCCCTCCATGGGGGCGCGAATTTACTGGCCCCACCTTTTGGGCTGGTGGGTCTCGCCCCAGAACGAAGCACTAAACTCCCCTCCCTCTCTCCTCTTTAATCGTTTGGTTCTCTTTGTTCTCTATGCCGCTTCCTGAGCCACCTAACGCTTATAGTTTACTTTGAATTCATTGCTTAAAATGCTGTCTCCTATTTAATATTCACAATCACTATGAAATTGATATTGATAAATTTCCAGTGTGTTAAAAACAAGTCTCGGTGTCAGATTTGTGATATTCTTACGTCTATCTCTTCTGTCTTTTGGTTTATCTTGGCATCAGACATAGGGCAGTTCAACATGAGGCTCTTGCCATAAAGAGCTCCCAGTGCTAAGAACTGGCAATTTACTACTTTGTTTTCAATGATTGGTCAAAAAGAATCATCAAGGTAAACTTTGTGGATTTTCTTTGACTAACTCCGTGGTTGGCAAACTGCAGCTCGCGAGTCACATGCGGCACTTTGGCCCCTTGAGTGTGGCTCTTCCACAAAATACCACGTGTGGGTGCGCACATACAGTGCGATTGAAACTTTGTGGCCCACGCGCAGAAGTCGGTTTTGGGCCTGGGCGAGTCTATTTTGAAGAAGTACTGTTGATATTTGGCTCTGTTGACTAATGAGCTTGATGACCAATGGACTAACTAGACTCCTTTCAACATTGAAATTCTAGACTTTAGAGACAAGAATAGACCTGGGTTGTGGGGAGGAGATGTGGGAGACCTGTAAGTGGAAGTATCTGAGTATTGGACCACCAGCTAGAATTAATAATAATTTCATAGACTTGGGTGATGGTGTCCATAATTTTCTCCAGTATTTGTATGGTACTTATAAAAACAGTTGTTTATATCTAGTAATTCATCTGCAAGTCTTACTTGATTTTGAAGCTGCAGAACACCTCAACTGATAGCTGGGATTGTTGGAATTTAGTTTTTATTTCTAATAACAAAACATTTTGAAGTCTACATTGAGACTCTGGCAAGGGGCTTTACTTCAAATACTTACAGCTTCAGGATCTTTCTGACCTTGAAGAAAGGGAAAATGAAGGTATTGTGGTTGCATCACTTCAGAAGCAAAGCCAAAGTTCTGTGCTTTACAGGTGGGTCATCCTGAGTGCAGGAGTCTCGGAGTTGGCATGGCCGAGGAGCCTTTGGGTAAGCTGGAGGAGGGTCTGTTTCCAGTGTGTGTTGGGGTGGTGGGCACCTCTCTTTTTTCTTTCATTTAAAACTCATCTTTTAGGATACATCATCAAGCCCTCCCCTTGTTAAACTACTAACTCTCTGAGCAGAATTTTTCTGCCTTACAACACAGGTTTTTGCTTGTTTGTTTTTGTTTTTTCATTTTAGGCAATACCTGACAGAACCTTTACTTTTAAAATTTTAGAGATGACTTCTTGCTAGGATGCTTGGAGGAGGGAAATTTTGGTTAAGATTTTGCTTCAAATACTGATCGCATGTAGCCTTCCATTAAAATTATCTACCAAAGATTTAAATAAACTCTCATGAAAATATTCAACCTTTGCCTCTTATAGAAGGGCTTGAGGAGAAAGAGTCAAATGTAAATAGGATATTCTGATCAGTACTGAGTTTTTTCCTAAAATCTATAGCACTTTGGCTTAGGGTTTTAAGTCAGAGGCAGGGCTGTTTGTGGATGGAGTGAATTAACTGCTGCCCTGGCCTGCTTGGGTTGCATAAGTTCCTCCCCCCGCCCTCCCCCATCCCCTGCAATACCCTCAAGATCTTTTGGCATCAAAGGGGCAGGAGGGGGACACCTTTGGGGGCTCCCCTGCCTTCCTCTCCAAGCTGGAAAGGGAGACACGGAGGGAGGCCCTGATGAGATATATGCCACAGTACAGAGCCGCCTGGGTTACCTATAGTACCCCCACACCCCATCCTATCCCAACCTCACTGCATGCCCTATAGTGGTCCCTTCATGGGCTCAGTCTCTTCTAGGCTCCTTGGAGACATAGCTCCCTTGACTGACCATGCTCCACCCATTGTTAGTTCTGGTCAAATAGCCAGAGGGAAGAAAAGTCTGAAGATGATCCAGAGGGACCTCAGCAATTCCGATGGGCCTTCTACCTGCACCCATTTCTGCAGGCCTGCACCTCCTGCCTGGCCCCAGCACCTCCCCACTCAGCTCTCCCTTTTTCCTTGCCTGCACTCCCATCGGAGGGGCCAGCAGGGGCAGACCACTCAAGCAGCCCCAGCTCCAGCTCTGTGCCCCACATGGTAGATGCCCATGTGCTGGACCCACGGGGAGAGTTGCTCTGCTCCAGGAACCTAGGCAACAGCCGGGGCAAGTGGGCTGTTGCCCAGGCTGAGGTGGTGCCCAAGATGGGGCTAAGCTTGCCCAAGGGTAGTAGCCAGAGGAAGCCCCCAACCCTCACCCCCATCCCCAGCCCCCATCAGGTAAATGTGTATATGTGGATATGCTTTGGAAGTAAAAACTTTCTAGGGGTGGTTTAACATATTCCAAAAGCACATAAGGAAATGTGATAAGTGGATTTGTCCTGATGTACTGTCAGGGGAAGTTATTCTGATACTAGTAGCCCATCCTGCGATATCGTGTGCAGTAGTCCACCTGCTGCTTCTGCGGGCGCCGGGGGGGAACCGAGGTGCACCACCGGGAGCTGGGAAGCTTCCACAGGAGGCTGAATCGAGCCACCAGCGCTCACAGGAGCCGGGAGGGACCCGCGCCAATTCTGCGGGAGGCCAGAGGGAGCCGTGCTGCTTCCATGGGATGCGGGCCCACTGTCTCCTCTTCAGGCTTGTGCTCCATTGCGGAGGCTGCCAGCCAGCTCCCCCAACCTCCCGTCCTTGTCTGTGTCCACTCTGGCTCCAGGGGGCCGGCCAAGTCCAGCACGACGGCTTGCCAGCCCTCCTGTCTCTGTCTCCATATTAGCTCAGGCCTCACCTGTGCGCACAACCTCCTGGTGTATGGTCATGACCTGTTATGGTGTCCTGGCCTAATTTGCATATTCTCTCTCTCTCTCTCTCTCTCTCTCTCTCTCTCTCTATATATATATATATATATATATATATATATATGTCCTATATAATAATAAAAATCTAATATGCAAATCAACCAGGGGGTGGGGCCAGCTGGTTAGTGGGGCCAGCTGGTTACCTACCATAACCTACTTTTAGTTAAAAAGTTTTAATTTCAAACCATTCTTTGTGGTTACTTCAAGTCAGCGTCCCATGCATCAGGAGGTGAGGGCAAATGCCCAGTTTCAAATTCAATTCTAGTAGGAGGGCAGGCAGTAGGCAGCCAGCTAGTATCTCTCTCTCTCTCTCTCTCTCTCTCTCTCTCTCTCTCCCTTTTCCTCTCTCCCTTTTCCTTCCTCTCTCTGAAATCCAGAACTAAAATAAATAACACAACAAAAACCCTTCCTAACTGTTGGCCAGCTATCAAGGAGTTGCTGGAGATAAAGAAGAGTCTGTGAGCAGTAACTGCCTACGACTTCCCTCCACAGGACTTTATTTCAGGAAACGTACTGGTGGGGCCACTGCTCCATTCACTTGTCCTGCCTCAGCCACTGTGGACCCCACTGCGGGTCATGTGTGTGCTCCTCCGCTCCCTCCAGCTCAGCCCAGCACCAAACCTACCTACTTAATGCTGTGCCCAACAGATCCTTCGACGCATGATTCCAAGTAATGTACTGGTTCCTCTACTCCTGCAAAGAGAGGAGAGTCATTACTACATCACATTAAGTCAGTGAGAGTTAAATGCCTGAGTGAGTGAAAGAAATTCTGAGTGAATAAGATTTAATAATAGACCTAAATGACCACAGATAAATGCTGGTGGCTTAACAATGAGATGCAGAATGGTGCCAACCACACACAGGACAATAGCACAGCGTCCCCTAGTGGAGCAGTGGGACTGGGAAACAGGACAGCATGTTTTGTGGCAGGAGAAAGCAGGGGAAACGCAGAATTCATATTTATCTGTTTTCTAGGAGGGCTTTTTCTGGAGAAAGCAGCCGCCTTGGCTAAGGGATACATTTAGACCTCTCAATGCCACATACAAGCAAAACATGGCACAGACGCTACATGACAAGGATTGTCTAATGAGGATGAGATTTTCTATAAGAATAAAGGGTAAATGGGGACAATTTGGAATTCTTTTCTGAAATGGTTAGGTGGGGTTCTAGGCAGATATAAGGGCCTCCAATTCCTATGTGGTTAATTAGTTTGCGGATGCTGTTCTCTTGGTGCCTGCCCAAGTTACCTCCCAAAATTCCTTACTGAGAATGAAAGCAAGTGTTTTTCTCTGTGTTGACCAGTGAGCCAGCAAATACATAGTGTGCTTAAGGCACAGCCTGGGAATGGGGATCAGTGAGTGTGGGGATCCAGGAGGTGAGGAGAAACAAATGGGACCGTCCTGGAGACTCATTTCCTGTCCCCTTTCAGTAGCTCACCAGATTGCTAGCTCAGCAGGTACCAGCAAGTAATGGAAAAATAGTCCCCTTTTCCAATGAGATAATTTCTTTCATCCAACAGCTTGCATGGTGGTGGTATAGATGTCCCTGCCTCACCTTCCCTATAAGCGTGATGCATTCCATACAGGCTCCCTCTCCACAGGACCTGTAGCCATGGGACACATGGTCCAACTAAGTCTGGCCTAATCCTCTTCTATGGAAGCACCAGGAGGTGCCTGAGGTGGGTACCTAGATGGTGCAGGGCGGAAGGGACAGCAGTCACAGGAGGTAGCTGCTGCCAGCTCCTCCCCTACATTCCCCCTGCCCCCCAGACCCTGAGCTCCTGGGACCATTAGGCAGTGATGGCGAACCTTTTGAGCTCTGTGTGTCAGCATTTTGAAAAACCCTAAATAACTCTGGTGCCATGTCACATATAGAAATATTTTGATATTTGCAACCATAGTAAAACAAAGATTTATATTTTTGATATTTGTTTGATATGTTTAAATGCCATTTAACAAAGAAAAATCAACAAAAAAATGAGTTCTTGTGTCATAGGTGCGCCTCACTGCCATAAGGGGCTCCATGGCACAGATCCAAATAGTGTGTGGTGTACGTTGACCACAGATGGAGAAGAGGGGAAGATGGTGAGGAAGAGGAGGGGAGGACGAGGAAGAGGCTGACTCAGCCAGTGACTGCAGGGAAAGCAGCTTCAGGAGGCACAGCGCCTACAGGTACCCACCCAGCCCATGGCTGCGGTCTCTTGCCCACCTCCTCTGCCCTCACCCGAGCTCTCCCAAACCCGAACCCCAACCTCCACTCCCACGACTGAGGGGAAATGCCAGGGCACATCGAGTGACACTCACACACAACAAAAACAAAGCACAACAGAACAGCACACCTACATCTACCAGAGGACAGAGGCGCATTGTTCATGGGGGTTGCATTGTTGTAGTTTGCAGGCCACATACTGGCTCGCTCTCTCTCTGCCCCCAGCCCTCCCATTTTCCTCTTTAATGCTGTTCTCTTGGTGCCTGCCCAAGTTACCTCCCAAAGTTCCTTACTGAGAATGAAAACAAGTGTTTTTCTCTGTGTTGACCGGCAAATACATAGTGTGTTTAAGGCACAGCCTGGGAATGAATCAGGTGAAGTGAATTATCACATTTGTTTTGGCTTTGCTTGCAGTGTCTCCATGAGGCAGGACCAAAACTTTGGCACATGGATCCACTGCATTCATTTTTTCTCCCCTTGTGTTGGTTTGGTATTTTTGGGATGAAAGAAGCCTCTTGTTTTGCAAACCTCTCTGTGTTTCTAATGTGGTTTCTTTAGGTTTTTATTATGTATCTGTTCTTTAAAAGGGACTTAAGGATTTAGAGAGGTTGTCTCCCTCCCTGTTCCCTCTTTTTCTCTCTCCCTCTCCCTCACTCTCTCCCTCTCCCTCTCTCCTCTTTCTTACACACACACACACACACACTCCCCTTTGCACGCCTAGCTGTGTGGTTTTAAAATTATGTTGATCAGTTTGGGTTATGTCAACCTAAGAAATAGTCAAACCTGTAAGAATTTTTGTGAGTTTATTTGAGCCAAACTGACAATTGCTGGGAAGCAAAATTTCAAAGGATTGAGAAAATGCTCCAGAGAATGGCAGTTTCGCACCTTATTTGATACATTACAATCCAAATAAGACTTACATGTATTAAATCCATTGGTGATAGATTAAAAAGTAAAATGATAGACACATACTTCTTTTTTAAAAATATATTTTATTAATTTTTTTATATATATTTTTACAGAGAGGAAGGGAGAGAGATAGAGAGTTAGAAACATTGATGCCAGAGAAACATCGATCAACTGCCTCCTGCACATCTCCCACTGGGGATGTGCCCGCAACCCAGGTACATGCCCCTGACGGGAATCGAACCCGGGACCCTTCAGTCCGCAGGCCTACGCTCTATCCACTGAGCCAAACCGGTTTCGGCATATTTTATTAATTTTTTACAGAGAGGAAGGGAGAGGGATAGAGAGTTAGAAACATCGATGAGAGAGAAACATTGATCAGCTGCCTCCTGCACACGCCCTACTGGGTATGTGCCCACAACTAAGGTACAGGCCCTTGACCAGAATCAAACCTGGGACCTTTCAGTCCGCAGGCCGACACTCCATTCACTGAGCCAAACCTGTTAGAGCGGCACATATTTCTTTTACATAGGTGGGTACAAGATAGTTAATAGTCAGCAACTAATTCAATAACAGTGAGGGCATTTGTGGTCTCCCTTCTAATGTGGTACCTGTGCTTTGAGGGGTCTAGAAAAAGGAAATTATTTTGAGATTCCAAAGGAATGTTATGGTAGATGCAAAAAGACAACATACAGGCTTAGTAAGGTGAAAATTGAACTTAGTCAGGTAAGATTCTAGCCTAGAACATGACTACTGCTTTTAGTTTTAAATTCAGCCCTAGCCAGTTTGGCTCTGGGATAGAGTGCTGACTTGTGGACTGAAGGGTCCGGGTTTCATTCCCGGTCAGGGCACCTGTCCATATTGTAGGCAACTAATCAATGGTTCTCTCTCATCCTTGATGTTCCTCTCTCCCTCTCCTCCCTCTCTGTCTGAAATCAATAAAAATATATATTTTTAAACAGTTTTAATTTCAGATCATCCTTTGTGGTTATTTTAAGTCTCTGAGTTAGTAAGGCTGCCACACAGGCACGGGAAGAAGACCACGGCCCCAGCACCGCTCAGTATACAATGTTTCATTTTAGCTCGCCATTGTACACTCAATCTTTAACTTAAAGATCAATATAAGTCTTTGTAAATTTAGTTGGCATTACTAAATTATTTTCCTAATGATTTTTATCCAATTAGAGTCTTAATCGGAAATAACTTTGTTCCCTTAACACCAGGCAAGTCCTTGCTGGCTTTATGCTTAAAATTCCAAAAAATATAGGAGAGGTCAGAGAGTTGTTGGCTGGCTTACCAGAACTCATTGGAAAATGCAACCAGACTTTGTCAAAAATAAAATAAGGTGGCAGAGAATCTTGCACTCTTTGAATGGACTGGAATTACAGCAAATTTCAAGAGCTTGCTTTCAATGGCATTTGTGGCTATGAGTTGGTTTATTACTTTAACATCAGTGGTTCTTTAATAAATAGTATAAGGGTAAACAAATAACAAAAATTATGTTTTCTTATTCATTTATTTCCCAGAAAAACAAGCCACTTGATCTTTGAATTTGTTAGCTGTTTTCAGTTGATTTTTTTAAGTCTCTGCCTTAAATGGTTTTGTTAGTGCAAGCATGTCAAACTTGCAGCCGGCAGGCCGCACATGCCTCATTCCCGCCAGCCACGAGTTTGACATGCTTGCTCTAGGGGAGTGTTCTTTCTTGCTGTTTTATGGCTAGGCAGCATTCCGTTGGGCATAGACATCATTAATTAGTCAGAACAATAATACTTATACTATGATGTAGATTTTGCCAGCCAACAAGAAAGGATTTTGGAATTTTCAGTTATCTGGAGCTTGATTTGAGTTTCTGATTTTTCTTTCATCATTTTTTCCTTGTAGATAGAGTCCTAGAACATAATTTCATTTTTTAATTAACTGACCTCATCTGGGGCTCTTCAAGTTCTTCGTCTCTGGTGGATTATGGATCAACTCCCTGGGGTGGTTGGAAATACACAGATTTTATCCTGACAGCCCCAAGCTGTGAATTAATTGTGGGGTCTGGCTGAGAAATGTTCCTTTATAAAGGTAATAAATAGCCTGGCTGCATCAACCTATGAACGATCAGATCATGGTTTGATTTCCCGTCAGGGCAGATGCCCAGGTTGCAGGCTCAAACCCCAGTGTGGGGTGTGCAGGAGGCAGCCAGTCAATGATTATCTCTCATCATTGATGTGTCTATCTCTCTCTCCCTCTCCCTACTTTTTGAAATCAACAAAAAATATATTTTTAAAAGGTGATAATTCTTTTATTCTCTAAAGATTAAGGAAAGTTATTTATGTATATGCTATTTTCAATTAGCTTTATATTAATCAAGAGACCTGAGAAGATTTCTCAACCCACTAATCACTGAAGTTCAAAACCATTCCTGAAGGGTAGTTGGAGTCTGTATTAGTTTGATAGGTCTAGCGTAACCAAGAACCACAAACTTAGTTTAAGTCCAAAATTGAAATGTTACGGTTCAATATTTATGTCCCCCCAACCGAAATTCATATGTTGAAACCCAATGACCAATGCAAGAGTATTATTTCATTTGGCAAGTAATTAGGGTTAGATGAGATCATGAGGGTGAACCCCTCATGAATGGGAATAGTGTCCTTGTAAGGGTCATGAAGAGCTTGCTTCCTCTCTGTCTACTCTCCATGTGAGGATGCCATGTGATATCAGTTGTGTACTGTAGGCAACCGATATATTTCTCTCTCATATTGATGTTTCTCTCTTTCTCCCCCTCTCCCTACCCCCTTGTCTCTCTTTAAAATCAATAAACATATCTTTGGGTGCGAATTTAAAGAAAAAATCAAACATGGGTATTGAGAATTTCAAGAAAATGGCAACATTTTTGAACTGTAAAGTGTGTCCCACTCCACACCACTCTGGTGTATTTTGTAGGTCAGCTATTTTTCCAGGAAGCAGTATGGCCATGGGAGGAAGACTCTCAGATTTCAGCTTTGAAGAGGAGCTCAGATTGCCAGACTGGACTAGCTCTTCTGAATTTCCTGGAATAAAGTATGGTAGCAACCATCTTAGGTAGAAACTGTTGCTTAACTCTAACCCTGCTGTTTGGCTTAACAATAGAAAAGTTATTTTGATTTTCTGAATTATAGAAATCATCCCATTCGATTGAATGCCTTTTGATTGTAATGTGAATATCCCATTGATTGTGATCTTACTGGTTTTAGGAAGCACATTCTTCTAGTCCCCAAAACCAGGACAGCACATTTACACTAAATTGCCTCGATGGCTCTAGATAATGTGTTCCTGGTGACTCAGTGGTCCCAAGAGCCGAGGACTCTACATAATGTGTTTCTGTCAAGGCAGTGATCCTGAGACCCAAAACTATAATTAACATGCTTAATTCTGCTTCTGCAAACTGCTTTTTTGCCAACCAGGTTCCTCATCCCAAACCCTGGGATGTACTCAATACCTTTCTGATTTTTGCCTCTATAAATCTGGTATTGCGGCCATCTTATCAATCGAGATTTGGGAGAGCGAAATGCCCCCTCAGAGTCCCGGATTGCAATAAATGTGACTCTTTAATTCGACTCCTTGAGGCGTCCTTCTGTGATTCGTGGGGTACATTATAACAAGATGCCAGGCCCTGTGGCTTCCTTGGAAAGCTCTTCAATACTCCCCTCCTCCCACCTTCTTTTACACCCCCTCCCCACATCCCACCATGCCTGGGATCTGGGGCCAACCAAGTGGCAGTCCAAATCCTGCCTCACTGTGAGTGGGGAGGGGAGACCCAGAGGGAGATAGTTATCTTTTCTGCAGGTGAAAGGAACCACTTGGTCACTGGTGATTTTGGGGAAAAGGCTCCCTCTTCTGTAGGCACTTCAGCCCAAGAATAATAAAGGTTGCCTAAATAAAGGTTAGAACTTGAGGTGGGGGAGGGGTGCTTGGTTGCTAAGGGGCACATGCAGGACAGGCTGCCAATTGTGACAGGGCTGCCAATTGTGACATGGCTGCAAATTATTGGGCTCCTGCTCAGCTCAGGGACTTGGTCCCACTTCTCTGGGTTGCGTGTACGTGCCCCAGTATTTTGGATCGCTCCTTGTGCTCCAGTCTCCTGGATCGCTAATTGTGCTCCATTATTTTGGATTACCTATTGTGCCCCAGTCCTCTGGGTCACCCTCCTTGCCCCATTCGCCTTGGTGGCTCACTGTGCCCCGGACCTCTGCCTGTCATGTCCGGGCTGCACATGTGGGCCCCACGGTTCCTGTTCCTATGGCAGCTGTTGTGGCTGCAGGTCCAGGCAGCTCCGATTCCGGAGGTGGCCATGGACTCTATACTGCTGACCTCCATGCCCCTGGGGCCCACCAAGCCCTGGTCTTGGGATCAGCAAAATCCTGCACACCTTGAACTTTCTTCTGTCAACCATGAAGTCTCAGCTGTACTTGCAGAGGCCCCTGAGGAAACGGAACCTTCTCCAAACTCTCAGGAGGCTTTAGTTCAGCTTCCACGCCAACAAGAAGCTGCAACTCAGCCTGCAGTGTCCTCTGAGCTGTTGAAATTTTTGTTGGACCACCACGGAGATCAAGATAAACAGCAACCCTATGGTGAATATGTTCACTCTTCAAAGAGATCAATTCTACCTTCTGTGCCTCTTGAAGAGATAAAAAATTCTCACATCCATCAGGCTCAGCAGCCAACCTTTCCACCCGTGGACCTGGGACTCACCATCACTCCTGAACACACTTCGGGGGCTGCGGCTACAGCCCTGAAGCAGAATGCAGCTCCTCCAAAGTCCTCTGAGGTGACATTTCCACAGGAAGCGCCGGTTCAGGCTCCTGGCCAACCTTTCTAGCTGTGGACCTGGAGCTCACCATCACTCCAGAGTCTACGGTGGAGACTGGTGCTACAGCCCTGCAACAGACTACAGCTCCTGCAAAGCACCCTGAGGTGACACTCCCACCGCCAGACACTGTTCAGGCGCATCAGCCAACCTTTCCACCTTTGGACCTGGAGATCACCATCACTCCAGAACCGACTTTGGAGGCTGATGTTACAGCCCTGCAGCAGACTACAGCTCCTGCAAAGCACCCTGAGGTGACACTTGAACATCCAGAACTTCAGCCAACAGAGTCATCAGAGACAGTTCCTCCAATGACTGAACAGAGTGCCACCATGAACATCTGTGAGCTCTGTTCCTGCAGTAATGGGACACTGTCATGTATTGGTTTTGGCTCAAAGCAGAGGCTCAACAGAGTGCCAGTACCAGAGCCCAGCACCTATAATGGCACCTTCACCATCTTGTAAGAATTGCCTTTCCTCATTTGCTCTCTGCATCCTGGCTGACATGGCAGCCTTTTCCTTGAGGTCTTCCTGGGCCTTCCTCATCTCCCCCAAACCATGTTGAATGACTTTGTTTTTATCTTTGTTTGACAGCTATTCCTTATCTTTATTCTTCTTAATACTTTGTTCCCCCTTAACCAGTCTTTTGCTTGTAATTGCCCATATTATTTTTCCAAATTTTTAGCCCTAGCACTTCATTCCTTAACCTCTACTGTCCTCCCACTTATGCTTCATTCTCTTTATAGCCACATGGCCCTCTCCCAGACTCATTGGTGGTGATACAACAAAGTGGTTAGGAGTAGAGATTCTACAACCAGAGTGACTGGGTTTGAACCCAGTACGCCTTTATTAGTGTTGAGACTCAATTTCCTCACCTGTAAAGTGAAGATTATATAGTTACCTTTACATAGGATTGTTGTGAGTTTTAGAAGAGTTAATGTGTTTGTGTGTGTGTGTGTGTGTGTGTGTGTATACATATGTATAATTTTCTAACATATGTCTGTGTTCGCTATTATTATTTGATCCCTCAGTCATATCTAGAACTTATCTTTGCCCCCTTGCTTTCTATATAAATGACCCATTTTGTTTCCAGCCCAGGTTTAAGTACTGTGTGAGCCACAGAAGTATGACTTTGTCTATGGAACATGACAGTGGTAGGGGGGAAGAAAGGGAATATACATAAAAAAGGAGGTGATATATAATTAAGTTCTAAAAGAAATACAGGCCAGAGGTGCTATAATACAGCAGAATCTTTAGTTATTGGTGTATGGAAGTCAGGGAAAGCTGCATGGATAACCCAGAAGTTTAGCTGGGACTTAAAGGGAGGCTATGGTTTGGTAAAATAGTGAATACAGTAGGGCAAAGGCATGGCTACATGAATGATCATGACTTAATAGACCAGTCTGGTTATAAAGAATTGGTTTAGGAAGTAGTGAAAAATATGATGATGAAAACTCTTGACTATCAGATCTAGGGGTTCGAAGTTCCACTGAGAAAAGGAGTCCTATTGAAAGTTTTCAAGTGAGAAAGACAGATGAGTAAAAAAAAAAAGGGGGGCGGGGGGGATTATTTCAGATTCCATAGGTAGAGTGATCTAGAAAGGAAATCTTGACTCAGGGAGACCAAATAGAATACTCTAGGAGTTCAGTGAGAAGACTCTGAATCAGAGTGTTGTGATAGAAGAAGAAAGAAAATCCTCGGAACACTATAAAGGAAGAACTGACAAGCTTTAGTAACTGACTGGAGTGAGGATGGGATGTACAGGAAAGAGAAAGATCAAATATGACCCTGGAAAATTTCTGTCCTGGATGATGAGGAGAATGATGGTGGTATGACAGTGGGCATACAGCAGTTGTGAAAGAGCCAGTTTGAGGAGGTGAGCTCAGTTTGGGCTTCTTTCATTGGTGAGCATAAAACAAGAAGGCTTCTGCTTTAGAGGAGATCTCCACTAGGCAGAGGGGCAGACAGATAACTGACTTTTTGTGACCTTCCTGAAAAATATGTAAACTGAATAGGTAAGTTATTGCTGAGGGATGAGGACAAAGCTAAAGATTCAAAGTCATCCACTGAATTAGTGTTTGAAACTGAACCTCAGGAATTTAACAGCTTCTTTTAAACACTTGTAATTCATGGACACATTCTCACTGTTTGTGGGTTTTTTAAAAAAATACATTAGTATTGATCAGAGAGGAAGGGAGAGGGAGAGAGAGAATGATGAGGTCAATGATGAGAATCAATGATGAGATGAATGATGAGAATCATTGATCTGCTGCTTACTTCAGGCCCCCTACTGGGGATGGAGCCACAACCCAGGCATGTGCCTTGGACCAGAATTGAACCTGGGACCCCTGAGTCCACAAGCTGATGCTCTATCCACTGAGCAAAACCAACCGGTGCTCACATTATATCTTTATTAATTGTGCAAACTGGAAAGCTGATAGATGTGGAAATTAGAAAGCTTGTGTTTCCTGCATTTAAATATCAAGGTTGCAATGATTGTTTTACTTATTCTGTTCATTTGTTTCTTACTTATTCAATGATATTAACTGTTTCTTTGCAGAAACTTGCAAGGAAACGCCATCTCTTACATTGGTAAAGATACGTGGAAGTCATACCATTTGGTTGAGAAACTGTGAGTATATTCTCTCCATACGTAAATTTAAAAAAACTAACTGCATTGTAAGAACTTCTTGGTCCAGAATTTTGAGGTCAGTAGCTCTGAGAAAAGTTATTTCCTACTCTGTATCCCAAATCAAGTCTATTGATTGCAATTCTGTTCATTTTAAAAAATTAAATTTGGTAGGCCCTCTTTATAATCACAGTCAATTGAAACTTATTTTCTATTATGATAAGCAACACATGATTATTTTTTTAATATATGAAAATTAGATAGTAGATATACTGAAAACCCTGCTTGTGTCCTCATCCCCACCCGAAGTAACTGCTTCTCTATGTTTACTATATTTCCTTACATATCCTTTTCAATGCATTTGCCTACATACATATTTACAGATAGCAAAATAGGTATGTTATGTGATTTTCATATCTTTCTTTACATAATTGATAACATCCTACATCTTGATTCTTTCTCCTCATAATATATCTTACACATGTTTCCTTCTTGTTAGAGAGAGGGTTACCCAATTCATTTCAACTATTTCAGAATATTTCATAGTTTAATAATCCCCCTATTGATGGATATTTAGATTATGTCCAGTTTTCTTGTTACATGTATTTGATGCAACATACATTCTTGTACATGCATCTTTGGGACCATGGGCTGGTATTTATGTAGAATAGATATTTAGAAATGGAATTGTTGGGATGAAACTATATTGATACAGCATTTAATTTTCCTTAAAGAAATTATGCCAATTGATACACCACTAAGTGGGCAACTACAGTATTTATTGTCTTCTATCCTTCCATCACTAGATAGTCTCCATTTTTTGGCTGATCTAATGGGTGAATAAAGACGGTCCCACCTAAGTTTGAATTTTTCTGATTACTTGTGAATTCAGATACTTTTATTTATTTATTGAACAACTGTTTCTTAAAAATAATTTTTTATTGATCCCAGAAAGGAAGAGGGAGAGAGAGAGAGATAGAAACATCCATGATGAGAGAGAATCCATTGATTGGCTGCCTTCTGCACACTCCACACCGGGGATTGAGCCCGCAATCTGGGCATATACCTCTACTTGGGAATCAACCGTGACCTCTTGCTTCATAGGTTGACATTCAAACATTGTGCCATGCTGGCCAGGCAGGTTTGGAGATTTCTAAGTCAGCTTGAGATTTATACCTTGGAAAGAAGAGGTTCCTAACTTAGAGTCAGTGGACCCCCCACTGCACCATTTCTTACCATTTTTCCTCCCAAATATCTCTTGGTTATCTGCAGAAGCCTATATTCTTGAGGACTATATTTTTAAAAGATGTATAAGTTAAAATATATATGAAAATAAAGGAAAGCTATTATTAAAATGCGTATTTAAAAACATTTTTTATTTTCCTATGATTATTCTTTTTTTAATCCTCACCTGAGGATATCTTCCCTTTGATTTCTGGAGAGAGTGTAAGAGAGAGGTAAAGACAGAGAGAAATATCAATGTGAGAGAGACACATTGATTGGTTGCTTCCTGCACGAGCCCCTAACAGGCCTGGGCTGGGGAAGAGCCTGCAACCCAAGGTATGTGCCCTTGACCAGAATTGAACCCGGGACCTTTGGTCAATAGGCAGACATTCTATCCACTGAGCCAAACCAGCTAGGACTAAAATATTTTTAAAAAGTAGATTATTGAAAGGCCAGCCACCATGGCTCAGTGGTTGAGTGTCAGCCTATGAAAATCAAACTCACTGTGGGATTCCCATTGAGGACACACGCCCAGTTGCAGGCTCAACCCCCAGTGGGCTGTGCAGGAGGAAGCTGATCAATCATTCTCTCTCATCATTGATGTTTCTCTCTCTCTTTCTACCTCTTCCTTCCTCTGTAAAATTAATAAAAGTATATATTTAAATTAAAGCAATAAAAATATTATTGATACTACTTTTCTTTTTTACGTTTTTCTTTAATCCTTGTCTGAAGATATTTTTCCATTAATATTTTTCAGAGAGAGTGGAAAGAGGGAAAGAGAGAGAGAGAGAGAGAGAGAGAGAGAGAGAGAGAGAGAGAAAGACATGAGAAAGAGATATCGATTGACTGCCTCCTGCTGGTTTGGGGCTAGGGATTGAACCTGCCACCAAGGTATGTGCCCTTGACTGGGAATCGAACCCATGACCTTTTGGTTTGTTGGCCAACACTCTAACCACTAAGCAAAACCAGCCATGTCAAATCTGCTCCTATCATAAGTAACACAAGGTATAGTGGTTGATCTGATAACTATTATAACTTCAATGTAGTGATGAGAATAAATGTTATTTTGAGATATCTGCAACAAATATATTATATGAAAACATCTGTGAATTTATTGGAGACCCAATGAAGTACTATACTGTTAATCTAGTATGGTTTGTTGCCTACATTCACAATTAGGGCAATGCTAATTTTTGGTAGATGTTTGTGAAAATAGAGATGTAATTTTATTTTCCATTCAGGTTTGGCCCCTGAATTCAATCCATACAATGCTATTCACCGACTCTGGCCTGAAGTGGTAATCAGCAAATGAAAATTATATGCACACTTTGGCATATATTCAAGAAAGTGTAGTTTTCTAGGGAAAGGGTCCATAGTTTTATGAAATTCTCACAGGGCTCTTGTCTCCAAAGATTAATAGTCACAAATGTAGAGGAAAAGAAAGACAGTTCTTTGCCTATAAAGCTGTGCTTATTCTCATGAGTAATAGTAAATGGATGATTTGTTTTAAATAAAAGTAGTAGACTAAAAACCATGTTTTTCATATTCTGAAATCATGGAAAAAGTATTTATGGAACGTCTGCTATGTGCCAGGAACTGTTTTATGTGCCAGAATTACATGCTCAAGAACAAAGTAGACAAATTACTCCATTTTTCAAGGGGTTTACAAGTATATAATATGAAAATGAATACCTATATATATAAAAGCCTAATATGCATATTGTCCCCATGGGAATTCAACTGGGAGGCCGATGGCTTGCTAAGATGTGCGCTGACCATCAGGGAGTGGTGCGAAACAAATGAAGGAAGGCCCTGGCCAGCAGCCAGCAACCAGGGAAGGGAGGCCCTGGCCAGGCAGCCGGAAGGTCCCAATTAGCCCTGATCACCAGCCAGGTATATGGACCCTACCCTATGCCTGAATTTTGTGCACTAGGCCTATATTGTGTATATATATACACAGATATATACGTATTAACTAGGTACATATCATTTCAAATATTGGTAAGTTCTTTGGAAAGAAAGAAAGCTGACTAAAGAAAATGAATCTATTTTAGAATGCTATATTGTTTGCAAAAGAGGACGGGAGAAGAAAGGTTTGAAAAAAAACAGATTATCTTCCTTGAATTAAATAAAAATTAGGGTATTTCGCGGGCACCATTACCCGGGTTTCCCCATATATATTTCTGTGCAGGAAATAGTTGTAGTTATTTTGCTTTTTGATCCAGATATAACCTTTTCATTTTTCAGAAATCTCAGTGCAAATAATTTGAGAGAATTACGTAAAGATTCATTTGAAGGCCTGGCTTCCCTCCAGTATTTGTAAGTTAATTGTATTTACTTATGAGATTTTAGTTATATTATCTATAAAATAAATAAGGGGTTCAAATGAAAAAATTTCTACAATTTCTTCCAGCAATAAAATTCTACAATTCCATAAGTCTGTTTAGCTCATCTCTAGCATTTAATATCTCCTATGCATTTTCAGTTTCAGTTTTGCCCTCTAGACAAAATATTGATAGGAAAAACTCTTCAGTTATGGAGTAAAAGTGGTGATGAGGTCTGAGTAATGATACACACCATTATGAGCCTTGTTATGTAAGGTTTATATACCATCTGCTTATATTTATATTTAGTTTAGGGCCCAAGAATCAAATTGGGCCTATGATTGCTCATTACATTTTTTTAATTTAAATTCTTTATTTTTTAAAGTATTACATAAGTATCCTTTCCCCCACATTTACCTCTCCCCGGCCACCTCCTTCCTCCCCCAGATTGTTTGGATCTTACAGCACATAAGTTAAGAAGGATTTTCACACTTTTAAAGGGCTTTGAAAGAAAAGAAACAAAGAAGAATATGCAAGACAGACTATTTGTGGCCTGCAAAGCCTAAAATATTTACTGTCTGACCTTTACATAAAAGGTTTTAAAATGTTGATTTAGTCAAATGAGAGGAATTTAGCTTAACCTCAAATTGCCTCCTATAGGACAAGAAAATATAAAGCATTTACATTAATTTGAATGCCATTAACCCAAAATTTTTTATAATTGATTCTAAATTAGATTAACATTTACAATTAAATGTTTTAGCAGATGACTTATGTAAAAAATATTATTAAGAACATATTATATTATGAAGAGAGCAGACTGGTGTTGAGGATTTCAATGCAAGAATTGGTATACCAATACTAAAAGTAAGTGTTTAAAATGATGGTTGAGTGGTATTACAAATGTCTCCACTAAGTAAATATATCAGAAATGCCCCTAACTTCACTAATTACAAAATCAAAATCTCTTCAGCCTCCTTGTCAAGGAAGAAATGCTTGCCTAGTATCCTATTTACTTAGGAATAGGGAGACGTTCTTTACTATAAAAACTCAACTATGATTCTTTGTCCATGGCACCCAGAGCTGTGTATGTCATTAATCCTTATTAAGCTAATGAATGATGCTATTTAGCAAATGGATTCTTTCTGCAAATATGGAAGGCTTCAGGCAAGTAGGTATAAAGAGCCTCACATGACACTAACAATAGTCATTTGTATTATTAAACCTTTCAAACTTCAGAGGGACATCCACTTTTATATTGGTCTTCTGCTATCTCGCTTTCAAACCTTCCATACAGTTTGGAGGAAATAAAATGAAGTAAATAACTGCTCAATAGGTTATGTCATTCATTACTTCTACTGTGAAATACTTTGTAAGCTACCTCTTTCATGCTAGCATAAAGTATTCCCACCCATTAAAAAATGCCAATCAATAAGCAAGCTAAAACAGAACATGCCAAGCACTGTACCTAGAACTATAGGCACAAAAATAGGTATGTCAGCGTTCCTACCCTTCTGATAATTCATGCTCTCAT